CTCCTGGTTGGATAGTTTGAGTACCTTTGCAATGTCCCCTTTGTTTAGCCCCGACTTCCATTTATACACCTCTATCATATCGCCCCTCGCTCTACGTCTCTCGAGGGAGTGCAATTTAAGATGCTTTAACCTGTCTCTGTACTCAAGGTTCCTAATGCCCGGGATTAGTCTTGTCATTCTCCTCTGAATTCTTTCCAAGGATTCTATATCCATTCTGTAATACGGTGACCAGAACTGAACTGCGTAATCCAGATTCAGCCGGTCTATTCTATCTCAACCCCTTAACAAACTTCTTAATTATATTCCTTAAGATCAACATTTACATCTGTTCCCGATTCTCATGACCTGACTGGTATACTGTATGTCTTTTGGGCGTGAGGGGAGTTTTTTTTTATATAAGGGTTAGGTTGGACTTGGTTAGGTTAGAGTTAATCTAGGTTGTTAGGTTAGGATTGTAAAGTAAGATAGGGTTAGGTTTGGTTAGGTTAGCTTAGGTTAGGTTTGGTTGGATTTGGTTAGATTAGGTTAGGTTTGGTTGGATTTGGTTAGATTAGGTTAGGTTTGGTTGGATTTGGTTAGGTTAGAGTGAAGTTAAGCTCGGTTGTTAGGTTAGGATTGTAAAATAAGACAGAGTTAGGTTAGGTTTGGTTAGGCTACGTTAGGTTAGCTTAGGTTAGGATTAGTTGGATTTGGTTAGGTTTGCTAGGCTTCTAATGGGATTTGGTTAGGTTAGGCTAGGCTTACGATTTGGTTAGATTAGGTTAGGTTTGCTGGATTTGGTTAGATTTAGGTTAGGTTTGGCTGGATTGGTTAGTTAGAGGAAGTAAGCTCGGTTAGGTTAAGATTGTAAAATAAGACAGAAAGTGCTGTTTAGGTTTGTTAGGCTACGTTAGGTTTATGAAGAAGTTGTCGACTGTAGATCAGCCTTGTTTTAATTATTAGGAGAAAAAATCGACCTGAACGAAATACCAACACGCAAGGCCCTACTGTACAAAACACTGGAGAGAGAGAGAGAGAGGGGGGACGCCGTAGGCTAAGACGTGTATGGTGGAGCGTGGGTCGAGGCGTGTGGTGACTGGTGGCATGGGTCGAGGCGTGTGGTGACTGGTGGCTTTGGGTCGAGGCGTGTGTGGTGACTGGTGGCGTGGGTCGAGGTGTGTGGTGACTGGTGGCATGGATCGAGGCGTGTGGTGACTGGTGGCATAGGTCAAGGCGTGTGTGGTGACTGGTGGCGGGTCGAGGCGTGTGTGTGACCAGGCATGGGCCGAGGCGTGTGTGTGGTGACTGTGTGGGTCGAGGAGTGTGTGGTGACTGGTGCATGGGTCGAGGCGTGTGTGTGGTGACTGCAGAAGGGTCGTGGCGTGGGGAGGTGGACTACGCCAGGATACGCCACCTCAGCTGGGTAACACACACACATTACACACATGACACACACACACACACACACACACACACACTATTGATCCCCCCACACACATATGACCACTGTGCGTATATCGATCTACTGCGGCTGTGAGTGTGTGAGTGTGTGTGTGTGTGTGTGTGAGTGAGAGTGTGTGTGTGTGTGTGTCTGTTTGCGAGAGTGAGAGCGTGTGTGTATCTTTATAAGAGAAAATGTGTGTGCGTGTGTAAAGATGACGTTTACAGTGCTTGGGTCTAAGAATCAGTGCCATAACAACTCTGAACCCCTAAGATAAACCCTTAACAACTCTGAACCCCTAAGATGAACCCTTAACAACTCTGAACCCCTAAGATGAACCCTTAACAACTCTGAACCCTTAAGATGAACCCTTAACAACTCTGAACCCCTAAGATGAACCCTTAACAACTCTAAACCCCTAAGATGAACCCTTAACAACTCTGAACCCCTTAAACTTACTGAGGTTAGAATAAATTAAAAAAAACTCAGATAAAACAAGAAATTTTTCAATAAAAAACAAAAGTTAATGAAAAATGGCGTCCAAAATGTACCTTGACTACAGAAGCATAATGTGTTTACCTTTTATGGAGAGGAGTGGGAGGGGTGGGGGTGAGGAGTGGGAGGGGTGGGGTGAGGTTGGAGGGGGTAGTGGCGTGAGTTGGGAAGGAGTGTTGATGATGCAAGAAGGGCTCTCTCTCTCTCTCTCTCTCTCTCTCTCTCTCTCAATTGAATCAGAGACGCGTAAGGATTGGGTTGGATAAGGTCTTCCTAATGCAACCCTTATCCAATACACCTCCAGGTACATAAAACAAAAAATATATATTGGATGGGATTAGTAAAGGCTGCGTGACCTCCCAGTTGTGTCCTTGACCTTTGTTGTTAACGTTCCAGACATGTTGTTATCGATGCTGTAGTTACGTTCACGAATATGAGGAGGATTAACACTGAGACACTACATAGATACGTTCACTTACACAAAAATTAACAGTGAGACTCTACCTTAACAATATACCATACGTTCACTTAGAAGGCAAAATTCCTCAGTACCTTTGTTAAATTCTTCAGTACCTTTGTTAAATTCCTCAGTACCTTTGTTATGTCTGGCCCCAGCTTACTACCTGACGGGAAGGAGGTGGTGCATCACTGGCCAACAACACTACTCATACAAACAGGCGCCACAGGGACTCGAACCAAGGGCCTAGACAACAGGAATGATGATGAGCTTTTCAACCACTTAAATCATCGAGGCGCCATAATATATTTTAACACACACACACAAATTCATAATATCACTATTTATTATTTGAATTTTATGCCAGGTAATATATTTTTTTAAGATGTTAAATTAATGTTACTGCGATAAGTTTAACATATAACGTGACGTAGGAGGGTTCAGTTGAGGGAGGCAATTTACTCAATATAAAGTGATAGTTTATCTTTTCACATATTCCTACAAGAGTCAACTTCAACAATAAACTTTGATTGGAATAGATTGTTTCATTTCGTGCCACTCACAACGGAGTCAGAGTCACTCATACGTGGATAGTCCGTGGCACTCAAACAGAAGTACGTGGCAGTCGACAAAAGTCCTTGGCACTGACATAAGGAATACTCATGAATACCAAAACGGTGCCATTAGGTGTGTCACTCTCTCTCTCTCTCTTTCCCAGTCTCTCACTCTCTCTCTCCCATGTCTAGAGTAGTACCAGGCCAGGTTCAAAAGACTGCCACACAGACCAGCACCACGATCAGCACAAGTAGAAGGGAAGATGGTGTTGTGTGGCAGACAGACAGACAGGTAGAATCCCAGGGCAGTGTGTGTGTGTGTGAGAACATACCTCAACCTGGCCCTAAATTAACAATAGTTCGTGCCATGAATTGGATCACCTAATTAGTAACCACCCTCACCTTATATCGCCTTAAGATTAACCACCCTCTGTTGTTTTCCTCTTAAAATTAACCACCCAATCGACAACTTTACTTAACACAACCTAGCCTAATCTAACCCCCCAGGTGAAATAACTAGGGTGGCTAATCTTCAGGTATTTTTTTATATATATTTCTATCTGGAGCTGTCAGCGCGCACCTTAACTACCTTAAACTATAAAATCATTCCAATATGGAGTCATAATCGTACTGAAACTCTACAATATTGGACATTAATTTCGTCTTTTCGTTTTTTATTCAAATTTCTAAGTGCATTCTCGTTAACATAAAGAAACCAAACTTGTATTCCCTAGAAAGACGAAGAGTGCGGGGAGATATGTTAGAATTATTTAAGTGGGTGAAAGGAATCAATAAAGGGGATATAGATAAAATTCTTATAATATCCGAGCAGGATAGGACTCGAAGCAACGGATTTAAGTTGGATAAGTTTAGGTTTAGGAGGGAGATAGGAAGAAACTGGTTCACAAATAGGGTGGTGGACGAGTGGAACAAGCTTAGCAACTTAGTAATAAGTGCTGGAACGCTGGAAAGTTTTAAGGGGAGGCTAGATAGATTCATGGATGATAGAGAGTGGTTGTAACTCTAGACAGGAGCTGCCATGCACAGGCCAACCGGCCTATTGCAGACTCCTTTATTTTCTTATGTTCTTTCTTAATAGTTTTTTGGTAATTTAAATTCAATATGCGTCAGGAAATCTTGCGTTTCTCTCCACGTCAAAATACGAGAAAAAATATAACGCAACGTAGGAACCTCTAAGAATCTCGCCGGTGATGTCAGAGAAGCCCACCCAGCGCACATGTATACATCAGCGTGAAGCCTCTTAACACAGCAGCCACCACTTGTACTACCCTGGGCATCACTCCCACGCTTCTCTGTGTGTGGGTGTTGTGGTCCCCTACAGCCAGCACCACGACACAAATAACACGATAGATTTTATGTAGAAGGAATCTGTGAGGGTAGAAGATTATAAAAGACAAACCGACTTAAGGTGGGAGAGGATGGTGGCGTGTGTGTGTGTCTGCCCACTGGCAGATGTGAGGTGGTGGTGGGCCTGGGCGGCGTCAACTCCGCACCCATCCTCGTCAACCAACACACACACACACCCTCAACTGCACTGTATTTCCCTCACCTTGAGCTTTTGTATAAAGTTTTCAGGTTTACTTATAACCTCATAACTAATTTCCAACACAATATATGGTTTAGTTTCTCTCCCTCACACGCACGTATCTTCATCTCGTTACCAAGAGTGTAGCTGCTGCCACTAATTTGTTGAAGATAACTTTGTAGTTACAATATATATTCTCGGTTATACTCCTGTTATGAAGGTAATTTTGTTTTTCGACAAATAACAACTATGTCCGGTTTTACACAAATAATTCCACTTGGCACAAATTATATCCAAAATCACAGTGGATGATATTAGTGTCATTGGTGATACTGGTTAAGGCAGAGGTGATGCAAGTAACAATTTACATGAATGCATGTTGTAGGGAAGCAACGCTGAGGCGACTGACTGCCTCTCACCTCACAGCTGTGGTGGAACCCTCACACCCTCACCGTCCCCACCTCCACCGCACTACACAACTACCACATTTACACACTACTTTTGTTACGGGTTAAACTTTCCACTAACCACGTCACAAGGCACTAGTTGTCTCCCTGGATCACTTATCTACAATAAAACACAAACGGCTAGTAACATACTCAAACCTACA